GGTGGGAAATCATCACCAAGAGATTTTAATTACATCTATCACGCTAAAGTAAGTTATCTTCTATTCCACTGCCAAACTACTCGGTTCCAGGATGTCTTTCTGGCCGGAACCGAGGGTGCGGGCCCATCTGCGTTAGACCGGGAACTGCCCGGGCTTTGGCTCTGCAAGTCCTGTGTCTCAGGAGGTCATCGGTCCCAGGGAAGCCCTGCCAGGTGTTCACCCGACCCAAACCTCCCCACGTGTTTCTATCCCACTCCCTCCAGACCCAGGCACAGCAGAGATGGGGAGGGAGTTAATACCCTTCGAGCTGGTCCTTTTCTAGACGCTGGACGTGGTGTTCTTCGGTTTCTTTTTTCCTGTCTTCCAGGTAAATCACCAAAGGTCTGCTAAGGTACGGACTCCACCTTCTCTCTCTTTATACTTGTATTGCTCATTCTAAATGTTTCTGTGTCCCTACAATGATCTCTTGACAAACTCCTCACTCGTGAATTCTCGGGCTCTTGCATAATCCCAGATCACCATTTCCTCTTTGATTTTATACTGTGCATCTTGAAAATTCACTGGAGTCATGTATGCACATTGACTCTTGGTCACACCCAGTTCCTTGAAGATGAGCAGTTCTTCTGGGTAATTCTCGTGGTGCTCCTGGCCATGTTTTCACAGATGATGGAGCACGATGATAAGGACTGCTTCATGGGGTGATCTTGCCATAAAAAATAGGCACAGCTCCATTTCATGGCTCAGACTCTCCCCACTCAAACCAAAACTGCATGTTACTGTAATGCAGTCTCATGGATTTGAGCTGATGACTTTTACAACTGCTATCTCCAGTCCGTACCTCCTCTGATCTCCAAATTCAGATCCTGCTGTCTATTAAGAGCCCCATTTGGATGGTTAATAAGGATCTGTAAAATAACTCCAATCAAATTTAACATGCCCCCAAACAAATCCTTGATTTCCCCAAACTACTTCTTCCCCTAGGCTTTTCTACCTCAGTAAATGGCAAACTCATTACTTCAGTTGCTCAGGTAAAAAATCTTGGCCCGTCAGCAAGTCTGCTGGCTCTTCTTTCCAAATACATCTCGTCCAACCCCTTCTCCTCACATTTATTGTGACTATCTAAGCCCATCGTTCTTCTCCTGGATTATGGCGGTAGCCTCCTAACTGATATTCCCGTGTCCAATCTCTGCCCTCCGTGTTTGTTCACCACACAGCAGCTAGACCAGCAAACCCTCTGAAATTGTTAGGTCAGAGCATGCCATCAGAACCTTCAGATGGGCTCTCATCTCAGAGTGAAGGCCAGCACCCTTACTAACAGGCCTGGGAGTCTTATACCATCTTACACCCTCCTGCACCCCTCATCTCCTGCTATTCTCCACCTTATACTTTCTGCTACAGCCACACTGGCCTCCTGGCTAGTCCTCTGGCACTCTAGGCAGGCTTCCATCTGCACCCTTGGTGCTGGCTCTTCTGTCTGCCACACTTTTCCACATGTAACGCCATAATTCTCACCCTCACCCTCACCCCCGTGGGTCTTTAGTCAAAAGTTATTTTTCCAGGAAGGCCTTCCCTAACCAACCTAGTTGAAGCTGCAACCTCCAGCCCCTACGCAGCATTCTCTTTTTCTCTTCCTTGCTTTCTCTACCACTTATCACCATATGACTTACTATGTACTCGTGAATTAACTGTCTCCCTCCACAGAATGTACATGCCATGAGGGAAGGGATCTTGGTCTGTTTTGCTCCTTGCTATGTCCTCAGTGATTATATGAACAGTGCCTGACACACAACAGATGTTCAATAAATATCAGTTGAATGAATGACCGTACTTGGTCTCAGGTTGGCCTGTGGGTTATATGGTGCAGCTGCTGGGAAGTGGGTTTGGAATTGGACAAACTTGAGTTCAAGCACTGTGAACCCACTTATTAGTCGTTTGGCCCTGGGCAAGTCATGTAAGACTCAAGTTTTCTCCTCTGCGAAATGAAGGTAATAATCCCTGCCCTGCAGGGCTGTTCTAAGTAGGTCGAATTAAATCAGGTAGAAATGGGCATTCACAAAGAGAAGTTGTTAAATATAGTTTTTGCAATCAAGATGGGTCCAATGATGAGCCAGGGCCCGGGAAACACTGATATCCAACAGTGGCCCAGCATACTGTCACTGGAGGAAGCTTTTAACGGGCACTGGTTTTATTCCACATACTATTTTAGGCATTTCGACCTGGGGGTGGTGGTTTAAGGATTAAAATTTTGAACTCTGCTGAGATGAAGTATTGTAGAAACCAAAAAAGCAAGTGAAATTCTCCTACCACTGAGTACATGAGAATATAATGTACCTCTTAGAAACGCTTTATAAATCTTCCCTACATTCCTTGATCTAGCATTTAAAGCCCACAATGGAATTAATTTTCAGATACTTCTTGTAAGAATAAACTTTGTTTTCTGAACATGTCCAGCTCACATCTGGAATCCCTAACATTCATACATAATAAACTCAGAGCCTCAGTGTAACTGTTTTAAACAAAGATCCCAGGGGTAACTGCCACAATCTCAGGGGCACAGCCACCACCTTCTCTGGACTTCCTTGTATACCATATGGGTAGGAGCATCCTCACGGCAGCATGCAACGTCAGCAACAAAGCCAACTCAACGGGGAAAGGAAAGGTTATTTTCAAGCTAAGAAGCTGTTATTTAGAATAAAAGGCAATTTCCCTAACATAATGATGTTGAAAAGCACTCTTCTTACCTCATTTTCTAAGGGAAGATTTAAAAAATTTATCATTGTCAGAGTTTGAAAAGTTCAGGTCTGAAGATTATTACTAACCATTTAATGAAAATACAACCATACCGCATTTTCTGCTTTTCATTCTCTACAGCCAAAGCCCTCTGAGCCCATTTCAAACTTCATCCCTTCCTCACCATGCACTCCCAGCGAGGTTAACTGGGTGCAATGGTGTAGAGTCCCGCTGACTCATAGGAGCTCACATCATAGCAGCTTCATTTTGGAACTTAGGACTCCTGGTCCCAGTTACTTATCACCCGACAGCAAAATCATCATTTACTCTTTTTCATAATGGACTTTGTTTAGGAAGAATAATAGCCTACCCTATATTACTGCATATTTTATACTCATTCACTTAGATAAAAAGCAACTATTATTTTATCAAATAGTTAAATATTAATTAATTATTTTCCTAGCCTGAGAAATGTCATTTGCACAAACATTATTCTTGAGTCTCATCTACATCAGTGCAAAAATGCCTGTGGATGCCCTGCTTACATATCCTCAGCCAAGGTTTCTGACCTTGGCACTACTGACATTTTGGACCAGGTACTTCTTTGTCATGGGGCTGCCCTGTGCACTAAGAGATGTTTAGCAGCATTTCTGGCCTCTACTCATGAGATGCTAATTCATTCACAGTGAAAAAATGACTTTAATAAACTAATTTTCAGGGCCTGTGAGTACATGGAAAACCTACAACAAAAATCCCACACACATATCTGATATCCACAGCCAGACAGAAGGTGTAAAAACACGAAGCAAAGTTTTGTGCCAAGGCAACACGGCCCCAAGAGGAGGAGAGTCAGGTATTGTGCTGTTGCTCAGTGGGAGTTTTCATGCTCCCCACCCTGGTAAAAACTGGAAATCACGTGTGACAGGGACAGATGGGGAGGAAATAGAAAGCCAAATTATGAGATGCAGTATTAACATGATGCTTCGTGCCATGATGGTCAGTAATTTACGGAGCAAAAGGGGCCTTCTGATTCATCTTGAACCTTCCTCTTGATTTAATAAGGGAGTGGCTGAAAAAGCCCTGCCCCTGATAAAGCAAAATATCACAACCGACTTTTGGTCTTGACCTTCTACCTAAGTAAGACTCAGCTTTGCTCAGCCACGAGGCCCTGCGCTGGATGTGGACTGCAGGTATGGCTGGTGGTCAGCACGCTGGGTGAGGAGCGGGGCTGGCCTCACCTCAGCCACTTAGTTTGCTTCCTCATTCAAGAATGGGGTTACTCCTACCTGCCTCACAGGGCTGCTTGAGTGTTGGCACACAGTTCGTCCTCAATACATGTTAATGGTTGTGGTGGTGGTTATAAATGCTGAAGTCTGATAGAGAAGGAAGGTTAAAAAGATGCTGCTCAAAATCAGACTAACCATATTGATGGTGTGACTTCCTCTCTTCCTCCCTTCCCTAAAAGACAAAGAATACACCAAAAGAATCCCAGAACGTTTATTTCCACAGGTTCCTGATAAAAGAGCACAACCTTGAATAACAGTTTACCACTGAACATAACGGCAAAATTACATAGCAAGCAGGAGCTGCCCCTGGACCCTTTCACAGAGAAGCTTCAGGAAGGAATTTCCACCCCCTGACGGCTGCACAATTACGCATGTCTCCTATGCACCGCAAGCCCCATTCTGCCTCTTGTTCTCTCCTACTTCTCCAACTGAAATGTGTTGACAAGCTGTACGTGTGGACACAAAAGGCTCACTTTACCTCCTTGAGGAAGGAGCTGAGAATGCTTTGGAAAGAAGTTACCCCAACATGATGGAGAAGCCAAGCCGTGGCTTCAGAGCTAGAGCTAGCTTTCTCCTCAGAAGCCCTTCCATCCTAAAAATGTCACCGTGGGTGCCTGAAATTTGAAAGCCAGTGGGTTCATGGCACTGTGTTCACTCCTGTCCTCAATTTTTCCCAAGTTCAGGTCTGCAGGGAAGAGACACGGGGGAAGGAGAAGCTGAGATGTGTGGGCATCCCACACCCAGCTCAGGCTGGGAGGACACAGAGATGAGGCTCAGGGTACGCAGTTTGCCACTGAGGAGACAAGAGACCATTCAAAAGCCTGTGCTCGACACCAGGCCGTTCAACCACGGCCTCTCCCTCCACCACCGCTACGGATTAGGAATTTTCAATGTTCAACACTGATCCCTGACCTCAGAAACCCCACCATAAGCCTTGAGAGCACCTGATTTAAGGTGCTCAGCTGGGGCTTCAGTCTGACCACTTGCCACTCACGGTTCTGCAGCCCTTCTCGGCATGTGATGGGAAGTCACAGTGCCTTACTATGTTGACCACCGGGGCTCTGGTCCTGCAGACGGCCTGCTTTAGGCAAAGGAGAGGCCGGAGGGAGGAGGCTGAGGCTGCCCACAGTTGCTGTGAGTCCCAGGCGGGGCTGGGGAAGCTTGTGGTGGGGGCCGGGGTGCTGTGGGCCTGCTAGGCAGACACCTTTGCTGCTCTTCGGGCCTCGTGCTCCTGCTTTGCCCTCTCCCTCTGCTCCCGTTCCCTCTGAATCAAGTGCGCCTGCTCCAGGTGCCAGTGCTGCAGCTTCTGCTCGTAGGCTGCCATGTCCTGGGCTTCGCAGGTGGGGAGCTGTTCCTGCAGAAGCTGGGCCGTCAGAGTCAAAAGGCTTTCTGACTCAACTCTGCTCAGGGCCTCAAGCTTGGAGTGCAAGTCCTGTTGGAAACAAAGGAAAAACAGAGGAGATGGGGGGTGGGGAGGAGGGTGCAGATGGGAGAAGACAAAGAGGAAAGGAGATTAAGTCACTTGCAAAACCTCCACACATTCTGCTTGCAGGAAAAGGCACTTTATTGGGAACCTGTCATACTGCCTTTCATCTAGACACTGTGAGCGTCTGCCCCCTTTTTTTTCAGTCCAGCAATTTTGCTAAGATGCACCACACGTGACTTCTCTCCCTTCACTCACGAACAGTAAATGGAACTCCATATGCTGAGATTCCCTATGTACTTTCTTGTTTTAATCCACAAAGACAGCACAAGTCTAACAAACCTCCATTTCTGCTCTGACCTGCACCAAAGCAAGCAGCAAACTCCCAGAGCAAGGCACTCTAAGACGCACACAAAATGGCAGAAGCAGCTGATAAACGGGAGCAAGCCCGTCCACATCCTTTCCTTCAGAATGACTGAGATAAATGTTTGCCTAACCAGGGTTTCTTTCAACAGATGGAAATCATTTCAAGAATTTTCTACTAATGGCATGCTAAACAGCTCCCATGAGTGCTCACACTATTATAAGCCTCCACCTGCTGAGCTCCACTGCAGGTCCGCCTTTGCAAACCGACTGCTTACGGCTCCATCTGAAATGGCATCTTGGTTTGGGCGGTATTGTATTCCTGGAGAAGTCAAGTACTAAAAACACTAATCTCCTTAAGTGCCTCAAGACGTAGATCATCAAGAGAGAGCCACTTACGGCCCCAGCTGTAGCTTATGCCACACATCCCCATGTCCCAAAAACAAATGCAATTCACTGGCATAGGTGATGAGGCCTGTTCCAACAGGAGGGGTGGAAGGTGGGCAGGATCCATGTGTCGAGGAGTGGCTAGAGGCCTCGTGTGAGGGGTCAGTCCTGTAAAAACGGACCCCAACCAAATTACCTGAGACTGATAAAAAATCAGGCCACAGGAAGAAAAAGAAATGTACAAGGAAAATTATTTCTGGTATCACTTTGTGGGTTGGGGCCAAGGAGACAGCTTGGGACACCAGGGTAAGGACTCGAATCTGAGTCAGCAAACCTTTGTTCAAATCCCCAATCAGTCACTTACGGGCCAGTTCCTCTCAGCCTGTTGTCATGTAACATAGGAAAAGCAGCATCCACCGTGCAGAGCCACAGTGAAGATGAATGAAATGCACTGATGCCTAATACGCAGCCAGCAGCCAATAAATGGTCTCTTTTTTTCAATTTTCAAAAAAAATGCATGTGTAGAAGAATGAGGACTGAGAATTTAATGCAGCACAGATTTCTATTCTCTGAGATTAAACACATAAGAAACAAGAGGAAGAAGTAGTCATTTTTAGGAGTGTTATAGCAGCATTTTTGTTTGTTTTTCAGCCTTTCCTAATCTGCAAAGTTAAGAGGAACAGGTAGGAATGTAAGTTCTTAACTTAGCTGCCAATTCTCTGTGTACCTAATATCCATCAACCTTTCTTTCTCAGTTTTCAAATTCTAAACGAGGGAACTTGAAGAATCACTTTTCAGAATTAGCGGGAGGAACAGCAGCTGCAAGTACAGAGGAGTCCTTGTAACATGGGGACAGAGGTATTCCATAGCTGGTTCCATAGCATTACTGAACAGAGCTACATGTCATCATCAGGCAAAACCACACCTCTCTGCCCCAAAATGACACACTAGGTCAGCTGGCATGGATAGGAAGGTTTCCTGCTTTATACAAAGAATTCTTTAGGCAGCACATTTTTCTCTTTGCACTACATAGACAAGAAACAAAGCAAAGAGGCTGAGGGGTTAACCTGCAACACAACTCTTCTTCCCGGACGTGGATCACAGAATATTTTAGGCCATGCGGCTGTAAAACTACCAAAGGCAGCTTGAGCGCTCGGGACTGTTTGGAAAAGAAACTTGTTTACATCTTCCATGTAGTCCAAAAACGTATTTGGAGGGCCCGAGTGCACAACACAAAGCCGAGCAACAGAAGATGCCTGCAGCTGATCTCCATCATACTCAAATGTGGCTTTCTAATTTCCACTTGGGGTTCTGGGTTATCAAGCACATGAGTGCAATATGAGAAATGACCAGACCCTTTCCACCTGGGGTTGGAGTCAGGCGACCGTTCTGAGGTGGCAAGCTAGTACCCACCCATCAGACACATCAGGGATGAGTGCGCGTAATGACACGCTGCCCCAGTGAACAAAACTGGGACCGATTAGCTCACGCACAAAAAGGAGCATAAAAGTTCATTTGTTTCCTTTAAGACCGCTTCCTGTTTGAAGCCTCATTTGTGATGTCAGTTTTTCATGCCTCTGTGTGTGACAGTGATGCACGAAAGGCCTGCCTATCTGTCACCACAGCTGAGAAGCATGTTTAATGCCCGGCGGAGAGGGACTCTGTTCTGCTACGACGCACCTTAAATCGTTCCAGGTACTGGGGAAGCTTGGACTGTTCCGTCTCCTCCACGTCCAGCTGCTCCAGCAGCTCTTCTGAGCCCCGGCTGGCTTGCCCTTCCTGGGGTTGCTCCTCCGAAGCCCCGGGGGCCGGAGCAGTCAGCGTCTTCAGCGTGCTGTCCAGCACAGCCAGCTGTGGAGCAGAGCGAGGCAGGGACTAACCATCCTGTGGCCCTGAAGACACACCACGCAGAAAGGCTGGGCCAGGGAAAGGAAGGAACAGCTGGGATCTGCACACTCGGGAACTCTCTCTTATAAAATCACCAGAGAGAGACGTGGTTATCTGATTTTATGTCAGAAATTCCCCGTCGTATGGCAGGGACGACCTAGCACAAAACACCCGGGACAAATACGCAAACTCAGAATTATCTGTGTACGGATCAGCACCGCGGCGTCTGATTTCACCTTTAGTCAACCAGGGAGAGATCCAAAAATCATGTTCAATGGGGACTCAAAGTATTCCTTCTTCCGTGTCGTCTTCCTCAACCGGTTTGGAATTGGGAGAAGGAGAGAAAAACCACCGCACAGCACAACCAACAGAGGGCCATTCTGAATGTGTGGGAGAGCCTTAGAAAAGCCTAGCCTTTATTCATCTATAAATTAGGGAGCCGCACAACCCACATAAGCTGCTGACAGAGACTCGACAGGCAGACGTGAAATGTACTGTAATAAGGTGATTTCTGTAACTTGCAAAGTAAGTAAATTGTAAAACAGAGGGTTTCTTTTGGTTTTGGCCTCTGTCGTGCACCACATTCACTTTGGGGCTCACCTTCCCCCGACCCCCTGAGGGCCTAATCATCAGAGATTCTACAACCTCAAGGCCAGCACTAGCACCTCCCTGCATACCAATTAATTCTGACCACACCGCCTTAGAACAAAATTCCAGAAAATACTAAGGCCCTTTAATGCCATTAATACCTTATACCCAGACCCAAGATATATTCCATTCTTGCTGACATCTGAATCACTTTCCTGTTAAGACAGAGAATGCAAATCTGGCTCAGATTGGAAGGAATATTTCCCTGGCAAAGGATTTACATATAATATTGTGTTTTTGATCACTAGCACTGACTATAGCAGGGTTAAATATGAATATATGTTTAGGAATGTGTATGTTCTGTTATCAACGTCTGCCAAAGAACATGATGATTCACTAGACATCAGTATCTGGTCAGTATAAGCACCAGACATGCACATCTCATGACTAAAATGAAGCCAAGGACTGAGTCCTAGTGATTGGGGTCAAGGCAAAACCAAGAATGAGCTCAAAGTTAACTTTTACATCCTGGTACTACAACAACCAACGTCCATCTAGGCCTCCCTCTTATGACATAAGCTGCTTGGATAGGGGTGGACACTGGCTGCCTGTAAGGCTAAGGCTTTCATGTGGCTCTAAGATGCTACATTTCCTGTAGCCTGAGCTAAGTCTAGTGGCTTCATAGTGTCAAGAGTCCTAGGTGACTGAGAGATGCACACTGGGGCTGGAGGGAAGACAGCTGCCTAGTCCAGGCAAAATGAACCCCTCAGAACTCTGAAAGGAACATCTGATCCACATTTCTCCAGCACTGAGCATTCACCACAGAACAGTAAATGGAGGCAAAACAAGACTGTGCCATCTCCAGTCCCCAGATTTGTTTCTTGAAGCCTTCTATGGGTGAATATAATTGCCATGTACTCTCCCAGGACTACAAGGGCACAGAAATGCCAAAAATTCAAAATGAAATATTAACTTTTGAGCTCCCACTGAGATTTTACTGGGGGAGTGGGCAGTATTTTATTGAACTCAGTTTCAATTTCAGGGGAGAGGGACAGTTTTCCTCCCAGACAGTGAGCTATAGAATCAACGTTCATCTTATTCTCTAATACTTTTTGTCAGTAACACGGAGAATGTGTGTGGATTTTCATTCCTTTTCAACTGGGTGAGTACACGATTCTACAGAAGTAAGGAGAGTAGGGGGAGGGGAAGACAATGCAAACAAATTCACAGGCTGGCTCACAAGGAACAGGAGATGGCTAAAGCGCATGGACTTAGGGCTGAGGGACGTACCGCTTCTGCACACAGCTTCCCATCGTCCGGGGATGAGGCCACCTTCTCCATCACTTGAAGGGCTCGGTCAAGGTAGCCAGGTTGCCACAGCAGAGGCATATTATGGTACACAGCCCGCAGCCCTCGCTGCAGCTCCACCTTCCCTATGGCCAAAAAGAACAATGAAGAAGCTTCAGCTGTGGCTTCCCACTGTGGTGGAGAAGGAGGACTTGAAAGCACAAGTCAATTATGAACCTGGAAAATCATTTCAAATCTGTATCAAGAGTCTCATCCTGTCCAGCAACCTGGTGCCATTTCAGATGGATGATGAAGAATGTGGTGAAATTCACTGAATCTGTTTTTTAATACAAAGTTGTACGAATATGCTTTTCTTTTTCATTTGGGCTGGTGGAAATTATCAGGAGGATGTATGAATCATAGGGCTGAGGGAAATTTAGAGAGGTTGATATATCTGTCTCTTTAAGTAGAACTACCCTTATAAAACGAGTCAAACAACTGAAATACTATTTTTGTTTCAAGAACAAAATCTTCCTCAGAAAAAGAAATCCCACAATTCTCCTACAGTGGAAATCTTGTCAACATATGACAACTTTCCCTTGCCAGCAAATGTTTGACATTTTTCAAAATGCTCCAAAACACCCCATCAACTGTCCTTATGAAAAAAAAAATCTCATTTTATTCTTCTTTCCTTTATTTGAGCTTCATCAGCACTTAAATCATAAAAGTCTTCATCATCCTCTTCAGATCTTTGGACATGAATGTTTTTCTTCGTACCTCAAACCACCACAACTGGAGCTCAAGATGTGGACACTAGACAGCAGGGTCCTTGGGTGGGCAAGGGGCTGTCTCCATGTTCCTGTGGAACAGAAGCCCTCTCTGCACTAACGGCCAAAGTCACCTTGAGCTGCCAGGTTTTCAAGCTGCCTTCACTTATCTTTCCTGGGAAGGATTTGGGAAGGCTGTAGTAGGACATAAATAGACAAAGCTTATCAGGTGACAGCTAATTTTAGACTTTTAAGACGTCTGGGGCTAGACTGCAGTCACATTCGGGGAAGCTGCTTCCCCTGAGGTTGAGTGAGGCTGCACAGCACACGACACAGTGGGAGCAAAGAGCTTTTCATCTGATGGCTGCCTGTCCCAAAGCACCAGGGCCTCTGCGCAAAACAGCAGTAACAATGCACATTTTCTTAGCCCTGACAACTCCCTCAACAACTCATGCAGCCTGATAGTCTGGAATGCTTACCTGAAGGCAAAGGCAAAACACGTAAGCCAATAGCAAGAAAGTAGATGGCATATCAGGAGAAAGCGATTTTTAAAAGGAGTGGTCAATTCTTTTGCTAGTCTGAAAGCCAGCTGATGAACTCTGAAATTCCACTCCATCAGGCTCTATCAGAATCAGCATCTAAGAAGGCCACACCACATTTTTTTGGTGAAGATCATCAAAATTTGATGATTTTCATAAAACGAAGGTAAGTCAAAGCAGTGTATGGTCAAGAGAAGGTGCCTTCTGAAATGTCTGCCTACTTGAGAGAATGGAAGAATAGTGAAATAATAATGTATTTAATAGATCTCTGTAAATCAGGACACATTTTATGCATACTTAGGTTGGATGCTATTTGCCCTGATTCCACACAACCCAGGTTCCAAGGCTTCAAACTCTTGACCTTTCAATGCAACCAGGCATCAAAGTAAAGCAACCATCCCCCAGCATGGAACAGTCACTCATTGTACCAATGAGTCTCTGCTTTCCCACAGTGCTACTAGATGTACTGAGTGTCCCTTTGCTCACCTGAAAACATTACCAAGGATATTAGTTCAACCCTAACTCTTAATTTCTTACCTCCTGGACTTAAGGTCTAAAAGAGACACAAAGATCTTTGTTAGTACTGGGAAAATTTTTACTGGCTGGTTATCCTAGAAGAGGGCCAGAACTTTCCTTTCTTTATCCCTTCCTCACACTGATTACCACTAAATATAATCCAAAGCCACCAGAACTAGTTTTCACCTTGCCAGTGGTAACAGGCTTTAGAACCCTCTTTACTGTCTCTTAAGGTATTATCCCATAACTGTAAGGCTATCAATGTCTATTTTTATGTTTAAAAATGAAAGCTATATTGGAATTTCACTGGTACACTGAAATCAAATTAAAAATTTATTACAAAATAGAAGAATGCATCAGTTCTATCCATGAAGAACAATATTTGTAAGGATCACTTAGCTTACCAAGAAGTGCATAGCCATATAACTGGGAACTTAACCCCACTGAGTTGTTTTGCTTTAGGCCTGGGAGTAATAGGGATGCACCAAAGTTCCTTTCCTCTTCCCACTGCAACAGAATAAAACAGATCATGGTCCAGTTAAGCAAAGAATAATTTATGTAAAATTTGATTTTTAATGATTTTTAATAGGGGAAAAACATATTGTAGCACTGAGGAAAAAAAGCAAAATAACAAAGCTATAGGTACATTATAATCCTGATTTTATAAATAAAACATATTTATGTTTAATGACTAATATAGAAAAGAAATACCCTCTGTTAATGGATTTCTGGAAATTATGAACTTTTTTTCTTTAAACTTTTCATTATTTTCCACATTTCTGGCAATGAATAAAGAATTCCTTTTGTAATCCTTTTGCTATCAGAGAACAAGAATAAATAGCACACTCTGGACCAATACTGCCTTGAGACAATCAATAAAGATCACACATGCTGTCAGCCCAATATTCATTCACATTGCTACGACATGCTGGGGCAAGCTTTTGAATTTTAAACAATTCAGCAATGATAAGACTCCTTCTACTTCACAGTGTAAAAATAAATACAACTATTAGGTTGCTTTTAGATAGATTTGCGCCTCTTAAAAATAAATTGGACAATCAGAAACACTTAGTGGTCATTTCTTTCAACCCAGGGTACAAAATTACACTTCGGTAAAATTGGCGCCTTCTGAGAGTTTGGACAAAAGGGGCAAAAAAGGCAAGTATCGCTAAGCCTGCTGCAGAGTAGTAAGAGCAGTGACGGGGGTTCACGGTAAACGCCGTGCTCAGAGGACGGCCTTGGCAACCCCCCAGACAATGAGAGCTGTGATCTTCAGGGTGCCGTACGGGCACACATTGGCCGGAGCCCTTGTTTGGACTTGAAAATAAAGAACACAAAGCTCAGGATGCCCTGCATCGGTCTCTGCAGTCAGAGGTCAGGGAGGAAGAAGAGAATGAATGAGGCGTACAAGCTACAATTGTAGCCAGGTGAGGCACCCCAGGTGTTAATGGGCACCCAAGCCTCTTTCCTGGGATTGGCCTTTGTGCAGTACAAGTGTAATTTCTTAAGGGTTTTCTAAACCTTTGAAAAAAGCAAAGATCTTGGGAGAAAAACAAAGCCTCCCCAGGCACTTGTGTAGTACAGATAAGTAAAAGCTGGTAATTGAGGACCAGGGCATTTCACTTTCAAAAGCAAATCGCCCTAAGGTTTGATTTTCCCCCACGTAAACTGCATGTAAAGGGACCCTGTGAATAATAAATAAAGAGCCTTAAACTTTTTTCTTTTCTTTAGGGAAAAACATGACCTATAGTATCAAAATGCAACAGGGCAAAAGCCAAAAGTACAGTACCCTTGCTGCTCTAGGAATTGAGCCGGGGTAGTGATGCTGGCTGGAACAGTGACCCTGCTGACGGGACTTTTAAAAAGATGGATGAAAACAAACAAATGAATGTCTTACAGATTTTTTTGATGATTCTCTGAGAATAATACAAACACCACTGCTTATATGAAAAGCTATTTATGTGTTAACGTAAGAGATCAGATCTCTCCCAAACCTGCAGCTTCTATTGTACGTACTATTAAGGATGAAATCAGGTGCTACTGCACCAGGGTCCGCAAGGTTCTCCCACTTTGTGCTTGTGCCTTTCCCGTTAATACAAAGCAAATCTCATTCTCCCACTCCCCTCTCCCCTCCGCTTCCCTGCTAGAAAACCCAAAGCACTCACCTACACCAGCTGTCTCCTTTCTGCACCTTTAACTCACTCCACTATCCACTCCAATTTCCTTTCCTCCTCCATTATTCCATGGAAACATGGGTTACAATTTAGTGCCTTCAGGCCACTAAATTCAATGAACTTTTTAAAAGTCCTCACCTTACCTACCCTTTCAGAAGCATTCTAAACTGTAAACCACTCTCCTTCTGTGTTTTTTGGGACCTAAAACGTTCCTGACTTCCCTTTTTGCTCTGTGGCTCATCTGCAGAAATTTACACCTACATGTATAAACTGTATCTCCAGTCCAGATTTTTCCAGGAAGATCCAATTTCTCTCATGAAATCTCATGGTTGTCTAAAAGGCATCTCAAAATGCAACATGTTCATAGGCAAATTAATGATTTTCCTCATAAAACCCAGTCTTTTTCCAAAGTTCCACTTGCAAACAAATGGCAACCTTTCCATTACACAAGTCAAAAACTGAGGAGGTAAGATTTCACCTATATGTCCCTGCCTCCACATATAGTTCCCCATCATGTTCTCTGCCTCCTAAATATATGTTCACTGGCTACTCCTAACTCCAGACATTCTGGTCCCCACATTACCATTACCTTTTGCTCAGACAACCATGTAGTCTCCCAAGTGCTCTGACCATAAGCCATCATGGCCCCAATCCAATCCCTTACCCACATTACGGCCAGATGCATCTTTTCAAAACACAAACTGAACCATGTTACCCCTTCTGCTTAAAACTTTTCAATGGCTTCTCACTATTTTTACAATGCACAAATACAGCTTAGCATGACCTGCATTCTCCAACCTTACTTCACCACACGCCCTTCCTGCCATTCTCTCGACTGCACCTACACTGTCTTCCGATCCTCTTCCAGCCCCTTTCTGCTCACCGTGTTCTTTCTGCCACAGGGCTTTTGCATGAGTTCCTCTTTTTAGATTGTTCTTCCTCTCTTCAGCCAGTTAATTCCTATTCGTCTTTCAAATACTAACTCAAGAAATATTTCCTCAAAGAAGCCATTCCTAAGTGTAGAGTACAAACAAAAACTCCCTAAAATATATGCTTGTCACATGAGAGGTCTTCATAGTGCTCATTATAGTTATAGTTTTATATTCATGTATTTGTTTTGTTTTGCTTTGAATGCCTGTATTATTCTTTGGCTGGAAGCAGGGAATGTTTGTTTACTATTGTATAACCAGTACTTGGCAATGTATGGAAGGCAGTCATTGCCCAATATAAATTTAATCAACTAATGAATGTGAGGTATGCCATAGGCTATGACCCTCATCTTAGAAAAGCAAAACAGACCATAAATTCTTTTGAACGTGAGCTGGATTAGATGTCCTTTTCAGTTCCTATGCAAACTAGTATTTTTGGATGTAACATTTGAAGATGAGGTACTAAAGTTGCGGTAGACTGCAGGCCCAGGCTGCCTGGCTTCCCAAGGTGGCTTTGTCACCTATGAGCCCGGCAGCTATTATGTAACATCTCTGTGCTCCAGTCTTTTCATCCACATAGAACTGTGAGGATTAAATACATTAATAAATTTAAGACACCAAGAACACAGCCTGGTGTAAAGTAGGTACTATTTAAATACCAGTTATTACTGTTATTACTGTTGTTATTCTTAGGGTAACAGTAAACAATTATTAAAGAGCCTAACCTAAGAGAAGAAACCAAAACTTGGTATTCTGGACTGACCAGAGCAATGTCAGGAAAATACTAATGCCAACTGAACAATCGGCACTGAATGCCTGAGGTCGTGGTCAGTTAGCTGCCTCTCTGCTTTTTTTTTTTTTAAAGATTTTATTTATTTATTTGAGAGAGAGAGAATGAGAGAGAGAGAGGGTCAGAGGGAGAAGCAGACTCCCCGCTGAGCAGGGAGCCCGATGTGGGACTCGATCCCGGGACTCCAGGATCATGACCTGAGCTGAAGGCAGTCGCTTAACCAACTGAGCCACCCAGGCGCCCGCCTCTCTGCTTCTTTGATATGCAAGTCCAACTGTCACTGATGATCAGTTACCCATTTCTGAATGTCTGAGGGGCATTCAGCCTAGCTCAAGTTTCAAAATGTACATAAGGACTTTCACTTGAGATTCTTTCAAGTGGAATCCAGGTCCACTCTGTCAGAAACCGGAAACTAAAATGTACAGAAGGAGCACTCATTCCTGGCTGTTCAGGGGCCATAGGGCTGCATGTCAGATTCTGAGGGCAGGGGTCTCCTCCAGCCACCTCCTCCCTGCTGAAGAGGCACCGTGGGCTTCTTGGGCTCTCAGTACCACTGTACCACCTGTCACTTACGCTGCAGTCTGTCTTCTTGGCCAGGCAATGGTATAAAACATGGAGTGACAGAAGCTGGGTGGAAGGTACTTCAAAGGCTTCTTGCATCATGATCTCAAAAACCACAGATAAAGCATCTGGCAAAAAGATCAAAGTAAAAATGAGAGGGAATTAGTTTTAGGTAACATCACCAAATCTGTATTTAACTATAAACTTAAAAAGTGGGGCATGACAGAAAAACAAACAGAATTAAGAAGCAAAAAAATGTGAGCTCTGATCCCAGTTCTTCCATAAACTAGATCTTTCTCAAGACTTTAGCTTCTGTTGTATTTACTATTATGTACTAAGGCGCTTTTGTACCAATGTTCTCAAGGACATGAAATAATCCATTTAATTTCTCTTAACTTCTCCCAGTATCATCCTCATGATGCTAAAAAAAATACCATTTGTCCCATCTACTTCAAAAGACTATGGGAGAGGGGTGCCTGGGTGGCCCAGTCAGTTAAGCGTCTGCCTTCGGCTCAGGTCATGATCTCTCAGGGTCCTAGGATCAAGCCCCGCATTGGGATCCCTGCTTAGTGGGGAGTCTGCCTCTTCCTCTCCATCTGCCTCTCCCCTCGGCTCATGCTTGCTCTAATAAATAAATAAAATCTTAAAAAAAAAAAAAAGACTATTGGATACTCCATCAAGATAGTACATACAAAAACGCCTCATAAATTGTGAAGCAAATTTAATCCATCACGTCCATCAGCTGGAAGAGCTAAGGTATACAGAAAGGAGGCAAATATATTCTCCAGGTCACCCTGACAAGCAGAGCAGAAGCTGGGCTGACTGCCCCATTCTGTGTTCTGGAACATTCTTCGTGCTGGGGCAAATGAAGACAAATGCTAGAGACGATCCTAAATCCCAGGTATCATTTCGGAGACAGAAAATTGATGACTATAAAAAGGATAATCAGGCTCAGTTTAAAAATACTTGAAAGACTGGAAAGGAAAATGCTCATTCATAAATGATAAACCCCTGAATGTAAAATACAATGTAAGGTATTTGTTGACACATGAATGCTGATCACAGCAGATCAGATGTTGAGCAATTTTTCTTTTCCCTTAAGATTCCACAACATAGATGGAAGCCAAGAAAATCAAGTTCAGACAATTTCTTTTCCTTAATATTTGTTGTTAAATTAGAGAATGTTAATATTGGTTTAAAATATGGTGCTAGCACATAAAACAGGCACAACAAATGTTTTTGACTAACTAAGTTGCTGTGTTAACCAATTTTTGCATATAATCATAATTATGAGTTAGCACTGACTCGCAGCTGTTCTTAACCAGCTGGCTTTGTGCATGTTGTCATGGTTTTAAATGAGGCCATAGGCAAGAACTTCTATATTCTTTTTGCAAATGGGGAAACTTAGATAAACCAGAAAGTCATCTACTATAATCAGTAGCAAATAAGGATCTAGAAGAGATTTAAAACAAACAACAACCCTAAACAAACCAGTATTTTAAAAGAACACAATTTAAAGCTAAAAATCCAGTTAAAAAAAAAAAGCTGGTTTTTCAACTGTTCATTGCTGAATCCAAAATTAAACATGAAAAATAAATCAAACTTACTTTATCTTTTACTTATATTCTGCATTTCATTCAGCTTGGGAAGTGAAATCAGATTACCCTGTATAATTAATTAACTTTTCCTCCATATTCATTTATGTACTTTGATATTTCCTATCCTATTAACAATAAAAAGTATAACACTTTCTAAATTTTTGCCATAAATGATAATAATCTTCATTAAAACTTTATTTTTAGAAATCCTCAATATTAAATATTTACTCTGCATTTAGGGAAAAAAAAGTCCTGTGACCCTTCCACCATGCCCTTTAAAGAGAGAGGGCAGGGAGAAAACTGCTTCTAGTAATTCTCCAATGATACACTATTAAATCTGATGTTCATGGAGCACAGATTCAGAAACACAGAAAAGCTAATTCCCTTTCACTTGAATTCAGGAAATGTAGGGGTTTTTTTTGGTTTTTTTTGGTTTTTTTAAAGATTTTATTTATTTATTCATGAGAGACAGGGAGAGAGAGAGAGAGAAGCAGAGGGAGAAGCAGGCTTCCCGTGGAGCAGGGAGCCCGATGTGGGGCTCGATCCCAGGACCCTGGGATCACGACCTGAGCCGAAGGCAGACGCTCAACGACTGAGCCACCCAGGCGCCCCCAGAAATGTAGGTTTAAAACTGAATAAGAAATAGACAAGAAGGGATAACTGACATTTCAAAAAATAATATACAGCAAATATTCTTCGGCAGTCAACTGCAAGCCTTTTGAGAGGGAAGATAAAGCAGAGATCCACAGGAAACAAAGGGAAGAGGTGGCCGCATCAGGGCAGGAATGCCCAGTCCCTCGCCTAAACACTGAGTGCGGATGCAGTGGGAAAGGCCATTGGTGCGGGTGTGCAGGGATGAGGGGATGGAACCCAATGGCAGGAATCTCAGATGTCATAAATGCGTAAGTGCCCACCAGTCCATATCCATGTTCCTGAGGTAGTAACTACCCTAACATAGCTCCCCCATGGCTCCTCAGTACCAAGGCTGAGGATGAAATGGGGGAAAGGGAAAGCCAGTGTGTGTCTTTACACAGTGGCAAGGCTCCTCTTTCCTTCTTCACTCTCAGTACAGCCACAAGCACAAGCATGCTGTCATAGGATTCCCTAACCCATGGACATTGGCCGGGGTCTACCAGACTCCTCTGTACAGTCAGTCTGCTCGACCTCCATCTTTCCTTGGACTACCTTATGGTAGTGGAAGTGAAGAAGAGTCACTTCAAATTAACTGCACAGGATCAAGGAATTTTGGGGGTAAAGAGATCTCAGACAGAATGAAACTGAGCCATTTCCTTACACCACACACAAAAATAGACTCAAAATGGATAAAAGACCTAAATGTGAGACAGGAATCCATCAAAATCCTTGAGGAGAACATAGGTAGCAACCTCTTTGACCTTAACCACAGCAACTTCTTCCTAGAAACATTGCCAAAGGCAAGGGAAGCAAGGGCAAAAATGAACTATTGGGACTTCAACAAGATAAAAAGCTTCTGCACAGGAAACAGTAGAAAAACCAAAAGGCAACTGACAGAATGGGAGAAGATACTTGCAAATGACTTATCAGATAAAGGACTAGTATCCAAAATCTATAAAGAATTTATCAAACTCAACACCCAAAGAACAAATAATCCAATCAAGAAATGGGCAGAAGACATGAACAGACATTTTTCCAAAGAAGACATCCAAATGGCCAACAGACACATGAAAAAGTGCTCAACATCAACTGGCATCAGGGAAATAAAATAAAAACTCAATGAGATACCACCTCACACCAGTCAGAATGGCTAAAATTAGTCTTTCAAGTCCCTCCTACACTGTTGGTGGAAATGCAAGCTGGTGTAGCCACTCTGGGAAACAGTATGGAGGTTCCTCAAAAGGTTGAAAATAGAGCTACCCTACGACCCAGCAATTACACTACTGGGTAGTTACCCCAAAGATACAAATGTAGTGACCCAAAGGGGCACGTGCACCCCAATGTTTATGGCAGCAATGTCCACAATAGCCAAACTATGGAAAGAGCCTAGATGTCCATCGACAGATGAATGGATAAAGAAGATGTGGTATATATACACAATGGAATATTACACAGCCATCAAAAATTTGAAATCTTGCCATTTGCAATGACGTGGATGGAACTAGAGGGTATTATGCTAAGTGAAATAAGTCAATCAGAGAAAAGACAAGTATCATATGATCTCACTGATATGAGGAATTTGAGAAACAAGAGAGGATCATAGGGGAAGGGAGGGAAAAATGAAACAAGACAAAACCAGAGTGGGAGACAAGCCATAAGAGACTCTTAATCTCAGGAAACAAACTGAGGTTGCTGGAGTGGAGGGGGGGGGAGTGGTGGGAGGGATGGGGTGGCTTGGTGATGGATATTGGGGAGGGTATGTGCTATGGCGAGCACTGTGAATTGTGTAAGACCTGTACCCCTGAAACAAACAATACATTATATGTTAATTAAAAAAAAAAGAGAGAGAGAGAGATCCCAGAGATTACCCACCCACTTATTTTATAGATGAGGAAACAAGAGCCTGGGGAGGTAAAAGGACTTTTCTTCATAGCAAGGGTACTGCTCTTTCCAGGAAATCAACTGATTTTATAGTCTTATATTTCACACAGAATAACAACTGTGATTTAAATTAAACAAAGTTAGCAAACAATACTAAAGAGTCAAGCTAATAATTGCATTACCATAATCTTAACCAGCCATGGAAGCTCAGGCAGGTTTATTGCTTAACTAAATTCACTGTCCTTTGCACAAGGAGACATGAACAAATAAACTTGAGAAACTAAGAGGAAAAAAAACCTGGATATGATTGTCCTATCTGGCCAAGTGGTAGGGTACATCAACCACACACCTATTTCTGACAGAAAGAGTGATATAAAGAGATGTCATTACAAAATAAAATAAGGGAAATTGCCCATATTTACTTCCCTTTAGGAGCTGAAGCCCCATTATAAATGGACCCGGGTTTGGTTTCTTACCTTTGTAATTTTCGTTCTTTATGAAATAATCCATCAGTAAATTGAATGTAAAGTTATCTGGAAAAATTCCATACTGGACCTGTAATGGTAATGAAAATAAAAGGAAAATAAGAGAAAAATATCCACTTTCACTCAGTTTATAATATATGCCTATGCATTATTAATGACAAAACCTGCCACCATTAGCTTTAAGATATTTGCCCATCATTTTACAGCATCTGTGGCAGTGGAAACAGAAGCTGTGACTCATGAGGTTTGGTAATTGGAATTTGGTCAGGGTAAGAAAGTTGCGAGTGGGCGTATGATATAAGACAACTGATATGTGGAAAATAAAGCTCAATTCTAGTATCTTATGAAGGCTAAAAAAAAAAACCACCAAAACAAAACAAAAACAAAAACAACAATCTCCCACCCCCCACCCTGATACTCCACTGATTCAGCAGTGCTTTTTATAAGGTAAGAATATCAGTGCAAAAATGGACTCTCACGAGGAAGTACATATTATCACATTATGCAGCATTTTCTGGTCTTTATTTTGTCTCCAACTTTATTGAGCTATAATTGACAAACAACCATCATGTAAGTTTAAGGTGAACAACCTGATGATTTAATACACATAGACACTGTAAAATGATTATGATCGCCACAGTAAGGTTAGTCAACACATCCATCACCTCACATAAGTACCATTTTGTGTGTGTATGTGTGTGGTGGTGGTGGTGGTGGTGAGAACATTTAAGATCTCTGCAACTTCCAAGTATATGATACACTATTGTTAACTACAGTCACCATGCTGTACATTAGATCCTCAGAACTTACTCATCTTTTGACTCAAAGTTTGTACCCTCTGATCACCATCTCCTCATTTCCCCCACCTCCCAGCCCTTGGAATCTATCATTCTACACTGTTTCTATGAGTTTGGCTTTTTTTTTTTTTTTTTAAGATTTTGTTTATTTGAGAGAGACAGCGAGAGAGAGCACGAGCAGGGAGGAGAAGGAGAAGCAGGTTCCTTGCGAGCAGGAAGCCTGATGTGAGGCTCGATCCCAGGACCTTGAGATCATGACCTGAGCTTAAGGCAGACGCTTAACCAACTGAGCCACCCAGGCGCCCCGAGTTTGGCTTTTTTGATTCCACATATAAGTGAGATCATAGGGTATCTATCTTTCTCTGACTGATTTATGTCACTTTGCATAATGACCTTAAAGTTCATTCATGTTGTCACAAATGGTAAGATCTCCTTCATTTATATGGCTGAATAATATTCCATTGCATACATAAACACCACATTTTCTTTATCCATTCATCCGTCAATGGATACTCGGGTTGCTTTCATGGTTGGCTATTGTAAATAATGCTGCAGTGAACAGGGGGGTGCAGATATCTCTTTGAGATTCTATTTTCATTTCCTTTGGATATATACCCAGAAGTGGGATTGCTGGATCATATGGAAGTTCTATTTTTAATTTCTTGAGGAATCTCCATATTCTCTTCCATAGTGGCTGCACCAATGTGCACTTCCACCAACAGTACACAAGGCTTCTCTTTTTGCCACATTCACACTGGCATTTGTTTTTTCTTGACTCTTAGACTGTTTTTTTTAAGGCCTTAGAAATATGCCAACAAAATATTACTGAGTTCGTGGTTCATGAGCAGCTAAGTATTTGAGAATCCAGATTTCCCAAAGTGTGGACCCTTTAGCATCTGCCTCAGAATTCTCTAGGAGTGCTTTTATTTTTTTCAAAGATTATTTATTTATTTATTTGACAGAGAGATAGAGAGCAGAAGTAGGCAGAGTGGCAGGCAGAGGGAGAGGGAGAAGCAGGCTCTCTGCCGAGCAGGTAGCCACACGTGGGGCTCGATCCCAGGACCCCAGGATCATGACCCGAGCCAAAGGCAGCCACTTAACTGACTGAGCCACCCAGGCACCCTTTTAGGAGTGCTTTTAACAAAGTAGATTTCTGGGGCACCTGGGTGGCTCAGTTGCTTAAGCATTCAACTCTTGATTTCGGCTCAGGTCAGGATCTCAGGGTTGTGAGATCGAGCCCAGTGTTGGGCTCCATGCTCAGTATGGAGTCTGCGTGGAATTCTCTCCGTTTTCTCTCTCCGTCCCACTCTGTCCTTCTCCTCCCTCTCTCTCTAAAATAAATAAATAAAATCTTTAAAAAAAATGCAGATTGCTAAACCTCAGAGAATCAGAATGTCTGGGAACAGGGCACGTAAACCTGAAGTTTTAGTGACCTTTCTATATGATTTTCATGCACAATCAAGTTTGACTACTCATGACCTAGACTATGGTTGTATTTTTGTTTTAAATTCTTACTTGAGTAGGATTAACTACCATCCCTCACCCTGCCCCATTCTTCCTCCAGCAACCACCAGAAACACCTGAGGAATTTTTTCAAACGATACCCACTCCTGGGGACAGTCTGACAGTCCTAACCCCCTAGTTGTGAACCACTGCTGAATTGAGTTACTGTTACAGCAGGCTGTATGGGATGCCTCAGATATGCTGAAATGGAAAAAGGGTTTAGAAGCCATTTTTTAAAGGTTGTGGCTCATGGGCAGTTTCTATATTTCTCAAAGCAGTCATCCAAATCAGCACTAATCCCCAGGGGCAGGGCAAAAACAAAATATTTTAGAATGATAAAACACTAAAGCTGGAAAGAGCCTTAAAAACCAACCAGTCAGTGATCCTCAACCCTGGCTGCAAATAAGAATCAATGTGGGAGCTTTAAAAAGATACCAGTGAGGGATGAAGAGGCAGAGCACAAAGACTTTTAAGGGCAGTGAAATGACTAGAGGATACAATAATACAAATATATACATGTCGTTGCACATTTGTCCAGACCTACAGATTGTATACCACCAAGAGTGAGCCCTACTGTAAACTATGGTTTTGGGGGATTGTGATGTGTCAATATAGCTTCATTAATTATAACGGATGGATCACTCTGGTTGGGGGGGCAGTGTTGATAATGGGGGAGGCTGTGCATGTGTGAGGCAGGCAGCATACAGGAAATCTCTGTATCTTCTGCTCAGTTTTGCTGTGAACCTAAAACTGCTCTAAGAAAATAAAGTTTCTTTAAAAAAAATTTTTTTAATCCATTAAAAAAAAACCCCCAAAGCCTGTGCTCTATAAAGGTCAGTTAAATGAGAATCTTGGGGGTAAAGAAAAGCATCTCTAATTTTTAAAAGAGTCTTGTGTGATTCTAATGGGTAGCTAGGGTTGGGAATCACTGACGTAGTACTTAGAGTTGAAAAAACTAAGACCTAGATGGGTAAAATTATTTGCCTGAAATTATGGGCAACTGGTGGACTTATGAGATTACAGCCTGGGTTTTCTGACTCCTTGTCCAGTGTTCTTTCCACCAAAAGACTAGGAACAGCAGAAAATGAGATAAACTTTTATGCCTTTCTAGACCCTTCTTGTTTTGTTTTCAAAGAACTCTTCTGTGTGTATAATCCGTGTCATTAAACTCTGAACTGATGAGAACAGGATCTGATCCATTCCTTCCTCTGGGGCCTAATATTAGATTTCTCAGTAAACCTATTTACCTGCATTATTCAATTATAAGCTTCCTGAGGGCAAGGAAAGGATATTGCTCATTGTTACAGACAATGCTATACCCAATGCAATGTCTCACACACAAACTCTGCAATGTATATTAAGCTGATTGGGCCCAAGTCATGGGGAAAAAAGCAAAATTATGGTATCCTTTTGAGTTCTAACATACAAGGTTCAGTGATACTACAGATAATATGTTTGCACAGAAATATTGTTAAAATCTTTTTATGAGTCAAACAATGGTTATAGCTTGAGACAAAAATAACATTCACAATTTTTGCTTATGTTGTACTTTATTTCATACTATAAAGGTAATGAAGACTCAACCCTTGGGGTAATGTAACATTCAGAAAAGCGCTAATCATAGGGGACTCTACGGCTCAAGGAGAGGAGTCAGGGAATTCAGCAGATATGTTCTGAGTAACCTAGGAATATTTTTAAAAATATTAGGGACACTTTTAAAAACTGTGTAAGATAGTATGAATACTCTGGAGATCACATTCCAGCAAAATGGTCATGTCCTAAACATCACCAAAGGGAACCAGGCAAGAAATCCAAGTCTTAGGGATCAAGAATGAAATGAACCACCAGTCCGAGTTCTTGTGATTGAACTTCTTTTTGTTTTTAGCTGTCATTTTCCAGGCACTAGGTGTGGAAAAGCAGCAGCTAGGGGAATTTATACATTTGACTACTGATTAACTTATAGCCCATTCCATTCTAAAAAGGATATCTGGGAGCAAATAAATATCAAAAGTTATTTCCTATCCTAGTATTTGCTATACTGTAATAGGTATTATCATCTAAACTCAGGAAAACAAGCTGCAAATACCAGGAAACCACTCACCTTATTTACAAGTGTATATAAGGCTTTGTCTTGTGCACCGTATTTTAAACACTGCCTAATCCAGGTGTGGATAGTCCAGTCTCTCAGGTACCAGCAGTTGGGGCTGTGTCGAAATCTAAATAAAGCATAAGAAGAGAAAAAACTGGGGTTAATTGAAACGTCAATGCCAAAATGCATCCTCCATCAGCAGGTCCTTCTCTTAGATATTTATAGATGTGCAGTCAATGTGACCAAAAGTCCTAAAGGTCAACAGTCAATAAAAACTTGACTATAAAACCTGTTAACTGTAAAGTGTGAAATGGGAAAGAAGGCAGAATTATCAATAACAAAGTACTGTAAATGCTGTATTCCTTACTTAATGCTTCCTGATTCAACAGCTTGTTTTAAAATACGAGATTTCTAAAAAATAATCTGGGGGAAAATACTAACCATAGCATTATACAAATACGCATTTCATTAGAAGAGAGATGTGAGGCTGACGCTGACACTTTTGAAGTTTAAAATAAAACAGATGAAGCAAAAATGAAGAAAGGAATAGCACAGCAACTCTAGGGGGAAATCAGCTTTGAGTTATACTGATATTTCTTATGGCACTTAGGAGAGATTGGGACACTCTTCACCGAACCAAAAGAAAACAAAAAAGCAGAAAAAAATAAAAATGGAGCACAGTTAAACATCCAGGTCTTCCAGGATCCACATCCGCCACTGCGCTCTTCAAAGCTCCAGTCTAGCTCATCAGTTTGTCCATCTCCCATCTCCTTTTCGTTTCCTGTAGCTGCCCACATGGTTTTAAAAGGCCGAAGCAGCCCGAGTGGAGGCGTGTGTGGTAATGGTACCTACAAAGGAATGGAACTTAGAAAGGGATTCTGAGCGCTGCTCTTGCCTCAAGTGTGCACACACTGGTGATACCCGGGGTTGGGGCGACTTCTTGTGCCTGGGGGTCCCTGCCACAGACTGAGGGAGAGAGGAGATGCTGCTCTGAGGGGCTGTTTAAAGAGCTCTGTGGTCCTTTTTCTGTTTATCTGCTGTGACTGGGACACAGGATCAAATGTCGTATCATGGCAGGGGAAGTCCCCATCTTTTCTTTAATTGTTCAGGAAGCACATCAATCTCGGATCCTCCTTACAAAAATCAAACTATTTTCTTAAATAAAAAAGGTAAGACAAAAACTTGGAGCAAAAGGATTTTGTGCCATATTTGAGTCGAGGATACGGCTAATACTAGTGTTTTTTAGAAGCTGGTTATTCAATCCGCCACCTGCTATTTCCTGCCATCTGCTATGGGGATAGTTTTCCTGCTGAACAGGTTCTCTGCCAAAGTAAGAGCTGAGAAAAAGAGGAAGTGTGAAGTAGTATTTAATTTAGGATATTTATTAGTGCTCTGGTGAGAAATTTGGCAAAAATAAGATCTGAAGAGGTTTTGTGGATATAGAGTCACCTAACCCTCTCTAGACTTTGGAATATCTTACATCTTGCTGGAAATTATTTCTCACTCTTTCTTTACAGAATTAACCCGTTTAAAAGCAGAAAGATAGATGGGGCACCTGGCTGGTTCAGTCAGTGGAGCAGGTAACTTTTGATCTTGGGGTCATGAGTTCGAGCTCCATGTTGGGGGTAGAGCTTACTTTAAAAATTTTAAAAAACCTATACAGCTTAAAAAAAAAAAAAGCAGAAAGATAGAAATATGCCAAATTATGTTCTGGATAAAAATGACCTAGCCAGAGAAAGACACTGTACAGGTGCCCAAGATCTAGATCTAATGAGATCTTCTGCATAGAAATGAAACAAAATGTATCTTTTAGGATTTCATGCTTTCCCTCACATTTTAAAGTCAACAGTCAAGCTACTTGAGTTCCTCTCCGTGTTATTCTGAAACATCTGAAATTTAAAGCATAATGGCCAATTAAAAGTTTGTTTTATTTTTTAAAGAAACAATTCAAGAGAATTACCAGGTGTACTGCCTAAACGAGAGTGATGCTGCCTTGCCGGGCTGTAAGCTTGCTGGGCAAGGAGAGGCATGCTAACCGGCCCAACGCTGACTCCTCGGTGCCTGACATAGTTGGTGGCCCACAGGTTTTCAGCACATAAAAAAACAGCTTTGGTCAACAAAGGTACAAAATGCTATAATGTGCTGATCATTTTGCTAACATCTACGACATATATGAAGAACTGTAAATTCCCTGTTTGCGGCATTAATAATCTCATTACAAATACAAAGTACACAAACATAGTTTCACAACAGTAAGAGGTGGGAAATGGTGCTGAGGAGACACAGGGTACTGCTAGCTGCTGGGAAGTGTTTTGGGTAGCAGTGATTATTACGGTCTGTCCATTTTTCCTTTAAAAACAAACAAAATTAAAAATGTCAATTACCTTCCCTACCCAAGATTATTTTAAACCTAAACCTCATTTTAAAATCTAATCTTCCGCCTCAGGATGTCTCCAGTGACTACAGAAGTTGCAGCTTTTCTTTCTGATAAGACTTTAAAATAAGAGCACTGTGACCAAATCCAACCAAACCCCCTTTTCTCTTATTCAGGATCAGCAGACCATTTTTATTTAGGCTTTAAAGAAAACAAAGACTAATAGGACCTAGGTTTAGACCTTCAAAGCTCAAATTAAAATTTGTTTAAAGTCATTTGTTAACCGTCTGAGGCTAACTTTCATACATGGGGGAACAGAACAATTTTATCTTCTCAAAGGTCTTTTCTTCTCACCCTTCGATTTCTTAGAAACCTAGAGGGAAAGTTACTCAAGACTTCACACATCCAATATAATCAGCACAGCAGCCTTTGAGACATTTGTCAACAAACTCTCGGGGGTCTTTAATAAGTCTACTCTCTCCCTCATCCTGGAACGGGGCTAGTTGGTATGATCTCTGCTCTCTAAAACCCAGTAATCCAGATACACAACCATGTCTAGGACATGTTCAACTAAGTGAGCATATTAAATCAATTTAGGAATAAGAGGGAAACACTACACATATTTTATGAAATATGCTGCCCAAACTGTAGTTTCTGCATTTCCCAGCCAGGCAGCACATAAACTCCTTTCTAAGCCCTTACCAGTGTTAAAAAAGAAATGAGCACACAAACGTATGTGTGTTATCTAGCTGTCTAGAATATAAACAACTCAAACCATTGAGATAGTAGGGTCCACCCCACTCTGGATGGTGAGTTTGAGAAGGATTTCTCTTTATCAATGCTGTTTTAAGCAGTTTAAACAGATAAACTTGGGCCCTGCTCAGAACTGCCAGTGGTAATATGATAGGCAGGTAAGTCTCTGGAATGGATACTTGCCTGGAATGATTCTGTGGACTGCTGGACGAGCATTCTCGCTTTCAGCCAGGAGAAAGGCAAAGAGACGAGAACACAACTAACACATTGATTTTCCAATCTGCCTGCAAACAGACTGGCTTTTGTTCTCGCCTGCTCTGACCACCAGCCTGGCAGATTACAGGCGGCCACTGTAGGAGTCCCCTCTGTGCCCCGTGCCATCAGCTGTTTGCTCACCTCGACAGAAGCTTTATTATTGTCCAGGCCAGCAGGCTGCCAAGCTAGGCAAACCGTGTGAGTGTGGAAAAGATAAACAAAATGCAACCCAACTATCCCCAACAATGCCTGTGCTCATGGAGGCCAGGGATATTTTGAGTTTCCAGCTTAGAAAATGTAAGTAAACTTACAACAATTCCAAGGACATGAGTTTTTCCTGGAGTAAGGAGGGGCGCAGGAAGGAGAAGGAGAGAATGAAGACGTGCACTCGCAAGCTCTACCTCTAGTTCTCAAAGTTGGTCTCCCAAGGCCAAGGACCCTCTGTCCATAGTGCTAAGTGGAGTTCCAGGTGAAGACAGAACTGGCCTAAGAAGCCAAATCATGGCCAATCAAATGGCAGGAACTGGGAAGCTTCCTCTCCTCAAAAATCAGGCTATATTCAGGACTGCTCAGGGCATTCGCCTGCACCATTGCTCATTCAAGATTAATGTCACCAGGAAGGAAGCAGAGGAGAATCACAGGCTGCAAAACTGACCGGGGGCAGAAGTCTTTGATACCTTAGAGATTTTTTTAATCGGGAAAGAGAGGTTATATCAAAGAAGTCAAGAGTGAAAAGCAAAACACTAGAGACTTACTATGATTACATAAAAGGTACTTTACTGTGCGAAAAAGTCACAGGGTATTTCCTATTTGTAATTAATTTCATCATTTCATTGAAAAAGATAATAAAGGGGGAAAACAGCCTTTTCTCTACAGGATTCATATAAAGGTTACTGTTGAAGGCAAAAGTGACAATGTTCATCAGCCGTTCAGTACAGCTAGTAAATGTGCTTCTGGCTGGGCAGGGCTAATGCACAGATGCCAGAGCCTGGAGCTCAGTGGCTCCACCATTTAGCTGCAGCACCGGCTCTTCCATATGAATGAGCAAGCTTTCCACAACGTTTATCTGATTATGAGAGCCACCATCCTTAAACATACACATGCAGTTTTCCCTCCTCCCTAGTGAATTCCGTATCCTGTGGCAACAGGCTTTACAGATGGAAACCTCAGCTTTTGAGCTGGGCACACATGGAGGCGAGTAAGGGGCCAGGGTGAAGGGAGGAAAGAAACAGTGCCAAGAAGAAAATACAGCTGGCACTGAAGCCTGTCGTGTGGACTGCGAATCTTATCAGTGAAGCAAAGTGTGTAATTATTAAAAGGCCCGAGCACTTCCCTGAACTAGAATCAAAGGGTGGAAAGGGTGTTGTGTGACTAAACCAGAATCTGATTCAATCACTGCTGACTTTCTCACCCTAAAAGGATACTTTCTTTTGCAACCTTCTGGAAATTCTGCTTTCATCAATTATTAATTGCCCTCCCCCATAAAACCCATAAATAAAATCAAATTTTGAGAATTTTTCTCATGACGATTATATTTTAGTCAAGTGTTTGAAAAAGGGGTAGGGTCTAATAAAGGAACTGATAATAAAGACACAGTATTGTAGATTTTAAAACTCTTGCTTGCTTGAGATCCCAGAGTCTTATTCTTATAGAGGAACTTCAGTTAATTTTAACTTTCAGCAACATACATGTCCCAAGTGTGCACTAAGAGAAGCACCAGGAGCAATAATCTGCTCTGAAATGCT